ATGCAACATGCCGTAAGCCGCGTTTACGTCACTGGTTATCCACAGGAAAGGTTGGACAATGAAAAGTAAACTTTGTTATCGTTATGAAGTTTCCTATGCTAATCATGCAATTACTAAAGATTTCATTTGCGTGAAAGTCAGCCCTGGCCGCGGTGTCAAGATTATACCGACAACATCTTCATTTTGAAATCGAACTGACGATGCCCAATATGCCCTTCAGCGAATCCGTGACATGGCTATAACGGTAGAGCTAGTCATATCACAGAAAAAAGTATTATCCGAAGGAATCCTAAAACAGAAAAACATCCATTCCCTTGAAGACGCCCATTTCAAATGCGCTAGACCTTCTGCCCGACCTAACGAACAGTCAACAGATGAAACAACGGATCAGTTGACAGCTGCAAGGGGTTTAATTAGGTCTGCAAGTTGCTTAGAAACGGTGAAGATCAGTTTCAGGACGAAATACAGTTTATCAGGCCGCCATTCGCTACATCCACTTTTGTAGGATTAGCCGAAAGCTCCGCCATAAGAGAAGAAGACATGACGGAACCAGAATGTTTTGATCATTAATATTAGTAATCATATCGGAAACATGATTTCACGACCACGCATCCAAAGCCATTGGCGGTTACCATCACAACATCATTCAACTCTCTACCCTTTAAAAGGAACGGCAACTGCGTTGGAAACCGCACTGCCACGACGTACATCAGAAAATATGCTCCAATACGTTGAAGAACGATTTCTTAAGGTCGGACATCATAAACCTAGGCTACTCTGCTGTTTGAATCGTTTACCTGAGACCACGATAAAGAAACAGCACCAATCACCACCCCAATCCTCGGACAGCACAGATTCTAAGGATGACAAATTAAAACATGGCAGGGCAACACCGGAGATAATTTGAGGCTGTTTCTGGGACAGAACAGGAGTACAATGCTCGAAGAAAGACCCGTTTAACTAGGTGAAGATCGATTGACGTCACCGATGGACGTGGAATTAAAGCAGCGCACAGCAACGATGGTTATAGCCGTAACAACTTATGCCTAAGCCTATCCTCTTGGTCAGAAAAATTATAATCTTTCATCGTGTACAGAAACGTTTCCAAGTAACAGACAAGCGATCCAATCTGATGACCTGCAAGTGCGAGAACAGGGTAACTGGATTTGGGACAATATTTATTCAAAACGAAGATAACTGTCGTGGCTATGTCTCTAATCTATAGCTTGTCCAAATATACTGCATTTTCAATTTAGAGCATTTCTTGACTCTGAAATTCGAGTATTTGACGCCCATTTGAAGCAAGTGACATGGATGGACGAAAAATCGAGAGCAGCCGCCATTCTAAAGGCCGACAACATCCAGTATAACGTTGGATATCCTAGGTGGATTTTGAATGACACGAAATTGGATCGATTCTACGAGCCGTTATCAGTGAAAAGCACTGAAGACATTTTCGACTGCATGTTGAATCTGTATGCGTTTGCCGCTGACAAAAATTTTGAAAGGATGGCGCAGAAGCCGGTACGGGATGATTTCCAGATGACCGTGGCCACCGTCAACGCCTGGTACTCGCCGGAATATAATTCGATTACGATTCCTGCTAGCATCATGAATGCACCATTTTTCCGAGTAGACTACCCCGCGGCCAAGAACTTTGGAGCGATGGGCTCCATCATAGGACATGAACTGATACACGGCTATGACAATCAGGTAACCGGCTTGGTTTGATTCAGGAATCAAATCACGTTATTTCGAGGGTACAAGCTAAGTTCTAGGGTATGAAATACAACTACAACGGGACTCGCGAAACCTGGATGACGGATGAATCGAAAGCTGGCTTCGACAACATGAGTGACTGCATCGTTGAGCAGTACAACAAAACCTGCTATCCTTACATGAGCATGTGCGTCAACGGTAACCAAACTTTGGGAGAAAACATCGCCGATATTGGCGGCATTAAAGTGGCCTTCTACGCCTATCAGAAGTACGTCAGTGAGCACGGAAAAGAACCGAGACTTCCAGGACTGGAAGACTTTTCCATGGAGAAGATCTTCTTCTTGTCGTTCGCTCAGCTATGGTGCGAAAAACAGTCGATAACCTCACTCTATCTTCAGATCATTCAGGACGAGCACAGCCCGGCCAAAGTTCGAGTCATAAACACGTTGAGAAATTTCAACGAATTTAGCAAAACCTTTGGTTGCAAACCTGGTGCAGCCATGAATCCGGTTGACCG